CAAAGCAGAAGTTTTCTGTGTATTTTGCCATATCTGTGAAAGACCATTTTAAACATGTCCAGATTACAAGCCTTCAGAAGCTTTGATAGGGAGGTTGGACTCGATGATCTCTGGAGGTCCCTTCCAAGCCCTACAATTCTGTGATTCTGTGAAAACAGCACGCTCAGTTTTAGAGCAGCTCAGCTAATTCCCCTCTATGAGACAAAGTGGCAATTCTCAACAGAAAATGAACTCAAGATGCCTTAACAAGCACATACCAGACTTCCCAGCAGAGTGCCAAGCCCTGCTCTGCTGCTAGGTGGTACTTCTCAGGGCCACCAGTTTTACTGCCAAAGACACGCATGACAAAGTTTAAACCATCAGAAAGATGGGTTTGTCACTGCTTCCTTCCCTTCTCACCTTAAAATTAGGGAAGGAAAAAAAATACACGTGCAAAACACATCAGTTAATACCTGTCACCAGAAATGCTTTCAGTTTAGCAGCAATGGATCCAGCCCTTCTGCTAGAAATCTCCCGGCACAATCTTTAATCATGCAATAAGAAATACTGCCTTGTTCAGTGCCCCAGGGAACCAGAGAGGGCTGCATGATTCCTGGGTGCCAATAGTGCCAATTTAAACTAAGGAGCTACTGCTTAAAGCAAATATTCCCCTCCTGAAAAACTGGAAAAATTCTACTGCTGTAAGCATCTAAACCTGAAGCTCAGGCCAGGTTTTTCAAAGAGATCACGCCCAGAATTCAGTGTGCTTACCTTGGTCCGTGTTTAAATCGTGCATTTTCAACTGCTGATCTAATCCTCCACTCCAGGCATGGGTAGGGTCCTATAAAAGCAAAAAGATCCACTCATGACATGCATAGATGTACAGCAGGCAGGGAAACTTCAGTCTCCCAGGCACAGAAAGAGACCTGCTTTAAGAGACTGGGGAAAACTGGAAACCGCGTGAGAATCTGTGTTTTAAACCACAGTCTGAATTGCAGGTGGAAAAAAGCACAATTAAAGATTTAATTGATCCTTAAAGCATTCATTCGGTAACGTATCAAGTTCAGACACTGGAGGACATGTCAAAATGCAGTGCAAAAAAGAAAAACCTACCAATTACTTGCAACACTGTATTTCATATATCACGTATGATAAGCAAAATAATAAGAAAAATAAAAGCCAGTTAAAAAAATCTTTCAGAAGAATATTTCAGTGGTTCATGTGGAGCAACGCTGTCTCCACATAAACTCCAGCAAAAACAACCCAGTAAGAGAAGGCTAAAAAAAACAATAATTGGCTGTGGGTATCCATTGTGAATGATTGTGGGTACTCATTGTGAAAGAAACATGCAAAGAATTGACCACTGGAAAAAAAAACAACTGTATAAACCAGCTGAATTTATTCTTGTCTGCCACTTCTGCCAGAAGTAAGCTATGTGTGTGCCTGCATCCTTCACAAAAAACATGGATTTAGGACAAGAAACAGGCTCGTGGGAAGAACAATAAGCACAAGTACAATGCTCTTGGACACCTGCATTTCAGGTAGGAACTATCCCTTTAATTTCAATTTCTCACGTACTTTGTGCACCGTAAGCCCATGAAATACAATTGAAAAACAAACCTCACACACACTTACATAAAAAGCACAGTCAAGGACAGCTCCTGAATGCTGATATTTGAGTCTCATGCTGTTGGCAGGAACATCATAGAGACGGACAGTGGTGTCCCAGGATGAAACAAGCAGAAACTGAGATGTGTTTGGACTGAACTTCACCGATGAAATCCCATCATCTGGAGTTTGATTGAGTTTGAACTCGTTTGATCCCGTCATCTGACAACAGAGCACAGGTGTCATTTTAGTCACAACAGGAAAATAAACCCAGTGAGTTGGCTGGCTAACTGACACACCTTAAGGTTCATTTAAAGGAAACCCAGAAAGCTTGCTAACCTTCACACAGAGCTGGAACGCAGAACTGACAAACACACTGAAGTTGCTTCTTGCAGCCCAAGACCTTAAACTCCTTCCCACATAGAGAATTTTTAATTTAAATACCAAACACAGCAATACAGCATGGAATAATTATCATAAACTTTTTGTTCTGTTTACCTCCAAGCTTAGATAAACAATATTGTTATGCACTTTCCCCTCATTACGCTGTCTATATGGTTATATTTCTAGGAGTATTTATAAGTTACTCTGAGGCTGAAGATTTTACTTTAAAAAATGGGGGCAGAAAGAAATCCAAGGAAAAACACCAGCAAAAAGCATTCCTGATTCAGTGCAACTGTGCTGGACTTCCAAGAACTACAACTGCACGACTACTCCAACAGTTACCAGCACTAGTTGGTATACATAAAAAAATAAGTAAAAGAGAGCTGAGGCTACAGGCAAATTTCAGCTGGAAAGACAGTTAAGAGCTTACAAATGCTCTGGATGAAGAAACTGTTCATTATAAGTACAGCAAAAAAGCCCCCAAAATCTTTTAAAATGCTTTCTAAGCATTAACAGCACATTTCTTTTTTGAGGAAAAGGCTTAGTAAGTGTATTAGCTGTGACTTTTTGTAATGTTATCACATCTGAACTTGTGTATAAACTCAAAGGAGAGATTAGACCTTTGGGAGCAAAATCCAAGACAGAATGAGAAGGTGAAACGTGACAAGAATCAGCTGCTCTGCACAACGATTCCAGAGCTGTGTTTGTCAGTAACTGAACCATCACCAAGCTGTAGAACAATGTAAGCACTGCACATTCTTACACTGGAAAAAAAAGTCCGAAGTGGAAGCTCTTGGAAGGATGCCTTTACATAAAGCACCCACCAAAACAAAAAGTGTACCATTACAAATGGTACTCAAAATGGAAATGAAAATATCATCACTTTTAAGAATAGGAAATAGAAATTACACTCTAAACCCCTTTTTCCTTGCCCAGAAGATGGATATGCTTGAGAACCCATCACACACACAACACAGCACTTGTAACAAAGGATTCTGCAGCAGGATCGTTACACCTTAAACAGTGAAACGTACCTCAGTGAGGATTTCAGATGGACATGCAAAGACAACAAAAGCAAGGAATGGAGAACCAGGAGGATCTAAGCAGACACACTAAGAGCCATGGCCGCTTGTGGCAGAAACTCAGCAGGCACTTATTGTAGGCAAATGAGACAAGAGCTACAAACCACCCCAAAACAACTAGCAAGCAGAGCTCCAGGAAGAGCAGAGACTTGGAAGGAACTCCTGAAGTTTTTGAACCCAGAAATAAGTATATATACATACACATGCACGTGGGTGCATGTGTATCTCCTATGTAGGTTAACAGATATATATATATATATATATATATATATATATATTTAAAAAAAAAAAAAAGGGACTCTGCACATTTACAGAAATAAAGCTAGACTGCCAGAGAACTGCTGTGGTCACCACAGAGCCCTGACACAGCAATGGAGCACCACAGGCAGTTGGAGAAGATACTCCAACAAAGGCAGAACCACGACACCAACTTCAGCACGGGGTTCCTCTGCAATTCTTCCACCCCGAGAGCTGCCTGTACAACACAGACACGAAACCAGCGCTTTTGCAGCCCCCAGGACCCCAGTACACAGCACTACCGTTTTCATAGTACACGGCTTCTTCCCTCTCTCGAGGCCACACCACGGAGAATTGTTCTTCACAGATGCAGGCAGCCTGCGGATAGTCCTGTGTGGGCGGGAAGCACAGCGTGAGGGCCAGGCCCGTAAGCGGCGGTAGATGCGAGGCCGCTCGCAGGCCGCAGCCGTCCCTCAGCGCGGCCCCGAGCCGGGAGCGAGCCCAGAGCCTCCACCGCTATCCCCAACCCTTCCCCCAGCCCTCAAACCCGCTTCCGACCCGAACCGACCGACCTCACCCCGCAGCCCGGCTCGGCCTCACCTCACCGCCTCACAGCGCCTAACGGCCGTCCGCTCCACGCATGCGTGGTGCGCGCAGCCTCGCCCGCCTCTTGGCCCCGCTCTCCCATTGGTCAGTTCAAAGCGGCCTGGCGGCGCGATGCATGCTGGGAGCTGTAGTCGGCCCGCAACGCTGTGCGGCTGCCGGCGGCTGCGGAGCGGGCGGGGATCGGCCCCGAATGTCCATCGATGGAATGGAAGTCAGAGACGAGGGGACGGAGCCGTGAGGGTGGGAGCTGAGCACGGGCTGCCGTCAGCAAAACGCTTACGGCGTCTGTAAATACACATGGTGTTTCCAAATATTTCCGACATTTACCAATATTTACCGGCATTTACGATATTTCCCGATATTTCCAACACCCACAATCTGTTATCAACAGAAATGTCCGACACCTGAAATATTTCCAAATGTAGCCAACAGTTCCAAACGTTTCCAATTATTTCCACTATTTCCAGCAATTCTCACATCATTCACGGCATTTCCTGCCCAAGCTGGGATTGCCATGCACCCCTTCCATAGGGCAGCACTCGTTCCTCATCCATTCCCAACACGCTGCCTCTCCCTTCATCTTATTTAATCCTTTCTGCATCTTTTAATCGTTTTTTTTTCCCTTTTTCCAGTGCTCGCACCCCCCTCCCCCCTCTCCCATGCCCATCCCACAGCACGAAACCCATCCTGCACCCACTTCCCAGCCATGCAAACACGCGGTGGTGGTGGCAGATTTACAAACGAGGCTTAAAACGTTTTATTTCCTTTAAAAATATGTACAGATCTGAAATAGCTCTTTTTTTTTTTTTTCTTTTTTTTTTTTAATTAATTTTCCTTTCAAGTGGCAGGATAACGCTGGGCGGGGGGAAGGGGAGCCCCGACCTCACCCCTCCCACCCCCATCAGTTCCAAACCTTTCCGGACGGCCCCTGGAAACGGCCCCGAACCCGAGTCGGAGCCGAATCCCCGGACCCGATGCCTCGGAGCCGGAGCAGAACCCCCAGAACCGAATCCCGAAGTCCCGGGCCCGAAGCTCCGCAGGCGGTGCCGGAGCCGAAGCCCGGAGGCGCGGCCGCTCCCAGCCCCGACGGGGCGGGCGGGGCTCTCAGTACTCGATCTTATTGTAGAGATTGTAGAGCGGTAAGGCCGAGAGGTTGCTGCCGGGGTAGTAGAGAGGAGCGGGGAAGGCGATGGAACGCGGCACCGGCACCCGCAGGAGGGAATTGTCTCTGAACACCAGCGGCATCCCCACCAGAGTCTGAGCTGAAGCGTGGGCCATGTTGGCAGCCTCCAGCTCTGCCGAGAGCTGTCGCTTCCACTTGTTGCGGCGGTTCTGAAACCACGTCTTCACCTGGGTCTCGGTGAGCTGCAGGCTGGAGGCCAGGCAGGCCCGCTCCGAACTGCTCAGGTATCGCTTCATGTCGAAGGTGGATTCCAGCTGGTACACCTGGCTGCGGCTGAACACCGTGCGCGTCTTCTTTTTGGCGGCCCCGGCCTGCCGGTCCCCGCCGTCGCGTTGCCTGTCCCCGTAAGAGGGAGAGGATCCCAGCGGCTTCTCCTTGTCCTCCTTAAAGTCCTGCGGGGAGGCCGAGAGGAAGGGGGGCCGTTCCGCTCCGCCCGCAGCGGCTCCGCTGCCCTTGGTGCTGCCTGCAACACAGCCACAGCGCGGGTCGCACCGGCAGCCACCGACGGCGCGGCCCCGACGGCTCCGGGGAGACGGGAGAGGAGAAAAAGCGGCAGGAAACGGCAGCGAGGGTGGGAGAAACTTCTGATATGAGCGGTTGTGCATCAGGAGTTGGTGTGTGATGGAGAGAGGGCTGGATGGTCGAGTGGATAGATGGAAGGATGGACAGGTGGATGGAGAGGTGGAAAAATGGATGGACAAGGTGAATGGATAGATGGATGTGCAGGAGGACAAATGGATGGACGAAATGGATAGCACCCGAAGAATAGCATGAAGCTTCGTTGGGAAAGGCCAGGTTGGCTTTTAGGGAAAAGATTTTGCCCCAGAGTGTGATGGGCATGGAACAGCCCCCTACGGCTCCTACAGCCCCGAGAGTGGTGAGACACCTCTCTCAGACACAGGAATTGAGTTTTGGGGGGTCCCGCTTGGAGCCGGGGGTTGGATACCATGATCTTTAAGGGTCCTTCCCTTAAAGCTCGGGATATTCCCCGATTCTGTGATTTCACGATGATTCTGTGATATGTCACAGCGAAGGCACCTGAGCACCGGGCTCAATGCTGCTTTCCTGCCCGACACGAGCCGGCGCATTTTGCTTTGCAGCACCGCATTTCACACGCCGTTTCATCAGAACTAATGCTAAAAATAAACATCTTTCTCTCCCTCAGCGGAGCGTTGTAAAGAAGCAGGAGATAAGGGAACGTTCGTTATCACTCCAAACTCGCCCCTTCGCCAGGGCGAGAACGAACCCTGCTGAGGTGGGAAAAGGAAAGAAAAACCAAAGCCGCCCCGTTTTTCCAGCAGATCCATCCCCCCTCCAGCCATGGCCGGCTCACACCCGGCAGCCCCGAGGCGCGGCCGCGCCGTCGCGCAGCGCTACTCACCGAGACGGGCGAAGCCGAGGGGCTGCTGCTTACGGCACGGCTCGGCGGGGCCGTGGGCTTCGGGGCAGAAGCAGCCGCGGTGTTTCCAGCTCTCGTTCGGTTCCTCTTCGTCCGAGGAAAGGGAGAGGTTCCGACCTCGCGGGGGCCACGGGGCCGCCTTAGGGCCCGCTTCTCGGGGGCCGTCGGCGCTGCCGCTGCCCAGGATGGACTGAATGGTGAAGGTGGAGCCGGGAACAGCGGGCGGGCAGCACTTGCTCTGCTCTTCCTTGCTGCTCATCCTGGGTTCATAAGAAAGCAGAGGGGGAAAGCTCTCGCTTTAGAGGAGCCGAGGGGTGCGGGGACGGGGGGGGAAGGGAGCAGGGCTGCCGGGGGGTTTGTTTTGGGGGTGCTTTCGGCGTGCCGCTGCCGGTTCTCCCCGCGCCTGCCCAGGCGGACTGCATGCTCCTTCCCTCGCGTCCCTATTGATCTGCGGGCGGCGGGCGGCGGGGCTTCATTTGCATGGAGGTGGCCTTCGCCGCGCCAATCACGGTGGCGGCGGTGGAAAGTTTGGGCAGCGGCTGGGTCCGGGGGTTGGGAGGGGGTTGGGGGGGTCCCGGGAGGCGGCGGGGCCGGGGGTATCCCGAGTGCTGTGGGGCTGCCCCGACCCCACGGCTGCGCTGCCTCCGCCTCGGGGGGCGGTGTGGACGTGGGGTCGGGATGGACGGGAGGTGCTGGGACAACGCGTCTTGGTGAGGGGACGGGGGGAGGAGGGGGGGGGTTACCCTTTTGTTTGTGGGAGAAATGGGGGGAAAAAAATAAATAAATCGATGTTACGGTTTGATGCCGAGCTGGGAAAAATCCTCCTGCGATGAATAGGAACCGGTAACGAACGCTTCAGGGAAAGGAAATGCTATTTCCTATCGGGGAGGCCCGGCCGAAGCCGAGCCCCGACGGCTGCCCGGGGCGGGGCGGTGTTGGGATGGGGCCCTTCGGCTCCCCCTTTCCTCACCCTCCCCCCGCCCCCCCCCCCTCGACCCCGGGCCCCTCCGCGGACACATATCCCAAAAATCAAATCAGGGAATGCAAAGAATAGGATGGAAATATACAAATCAATAGAGACAAATGTCAAGACGTTTTAAAATGACATTTTCATTAACTCCGAGTCACCATATTATGGCTGGTATATTGAATAAAGTACTTATAATATAATTAGGCATAGCGAGATGACGACTGTTACCCAGACCAGCGGCATAATCTTTAACTACTTAACTACTTGATAGACTCATTAATGGACTAATTGATTAGGAAAAGTGTTCCAGCTCCTCCTCTCCCTGCGAGGGGCAGGTGCTGTCCTGTTTTACCACATTAACCTTTTCAGTGCTTTTCAACGGGGTCGCGACACATTACAAATGGTCAGCTTTAATCATGATGTCAGCTCATTAACCCGGAAAGACCCCTCACTGAAATACAATTTAAGAAATCGTCCTTCATCCCGCTTTGCCTTCCCGGCCCCTCGCACAGCCGGGACCCTGTTCTGCCGTCGGGGAAAGCGAAGGACGGCACCCGGGGGCTGCCCGAGTTCCAAGCCGGGGTAGAGAGAGGCAGGGAGGAAATGGAGCTGGAGCCGCCCCGATGGCAATCGACGTGACAACGCTGTGCTGCCTGCGGGTGGATGCGGATGGGCCGGGGTGGGGGGATGCTGGACAGGGAGAGGGGTGAGGAAGGTGGAAATCATGGGGGAGTGGGGGATTTAGGGGATCTGGGGGCAGAAGGGAGGGAGAAGGGAGAAAGAAAGGGAGAAGGGGGAAGAGGGAAAGGGAGAAGGGGAGGGAGGGGAAGGGAAGGGAAGGGGAGCACCAGCAACCTGTGTGCCGAGCCAAACCAAACCAAACCGAACCGAACCAAACCGGGCCGGGCCAATATGTGCCGGGCCGCGCTCCGACGCCGCTCCCAAGGGGGAATGAATCAGCTCCGACGCCCACCAGCACCCGACGGAACGAACAGTCACGGGGCAGCCCGGCCCAACCCGCCTCCCGCCGCCCCTCGACGGATGGGGCCGCGCTATCCCCCCTCCCCCTCCCCCCCCCGCCCCCCGCCCGCGCCGTCGGGGCAAATGTGATCAACCGGCACGGCGAGATCAACTTTGAAAGGCAGAGCGAACGCTTAAAGTTTAGATCTCCAGATTATTACAATGCTCGGTATTAAAGTGGCCCTGAGCAAGCTTTCAAAAGGAGCCTAATAAAAATTGATCTGCCCTGCTTCTGCAGCGCTTGGAAAATAGGCTCGTAGAGCGGCCGTAATATCGGGAGAAGGCTCCCTCCGAAATGACAGATGAAGTCATAAACAAGTTTGATCTCGGAATCAAGCTTCGATAAATATTAAACACGGTCCCCTTTCCACGTGTGGATTATGATATATGGCGCGTCCAAACTTTAAAATAAGGAAATACCAGAGAAAATGATCTCGATAAATTTTCTAAGTATAAACGTTGATTATGTTTCGATTTTCATTCAAAAGCCTCTGCCGCTCGTTTTTTGGCGCAAATGACATCTCGCAATGGGCTTTTGGGGAAAAGGGCTCCTGTTTGAGAAAGAGAGCCCTAGAGGTGTACAATTTATGTAATCTGCAGCTGGAAAATGAATTGTGTAATTTATTGGAAAACAGAAAGTCGCGAAGATTGGATCAGCATAGCCTATCCGAGGGCCCCTATCCATCAAGTTCCAATTAACAACCTAACCAGAGAGCTTTAATGTGTTTCCAATCTAGTGGCCTGATAGACTCATCAATTCCTCGGGGAGAAATTAAGAAAATCGACCGCCCCTTGGCGTTGTAGTGTCATTCCTTTCTGCAACTATATGTCAAATTAAAAACACAATTAAAATTTAAACTGTTTCAATCAGAGGGTGCCCTGCAACCTATGTTTCACTTAATAGAACTTTGATGAAAATCTGATGGTTCCACTCCATCATGAAAGCGAATAGAGCCGAGGAGTGCGAGAGATCCTTTCTATTTATTGAAAACGCGGGGCCCGGCGGGCTCCAGGTGAGCGCACGGCGAGATCGGGGCTCTGCCCGGCGATGCGGGCACGCGGACGGGGCGGGCAGAGCGGAGCGGACGGGGACGGAGCGCTGCCGGTTCCCGTGCCCCCACCTGGGGACGTCGGAACGGGATGGGGAGGTGCTGCGCGGGGCAGGGCTGCGCACCTTCCCCATCGATTCCCACGCGAATCCCTCAGCGGGGCTCAACGCGAGGATGCGGCTCCTCGAAGCTGCCCTGCGTCGCTCTTTCCCCGCTTTTCCTTATGTAAGAGTTCTTTTGCCGCACGCTTTTGAAACGTTTCCAAGCTCCAAAGCTCTCTCTGGGGCCCGGACTGAGCTCCGGGAATCCCTCGAAGGTACGGGAGAGGCGCAAGGTCACCGACAGCACCCAAAGAGCGCAGGAACAATAGATTCATTGGAAACGATATTTTACAGACGTGCCGCGATCAATAGAGACCGCAGCATTGCGCCGTGCCAATCTGTTAATGCTCCTAATGGTCTCCTCGTCCCGTTTGCGCGCTACGCGGAGTCGATGGAGCAAAGCGATTATTGCAGAGACACTCTCGGCATATTTGGGAAGGGAGGGAGAGGGGAAAAAAAAAAAAAGAAAAGTAGAAAAAAAAAGAAAATTATCCCCAACCCCACGCGTTTATTGCGCTGTCGGACAGCGGGATTTTCCCACGGAGCGAAAGAATCGCATCTGCGCAGCGCATGCAGCGGAATTCGGAAACCTTCGGAGAAAGGAGGAGGGAAAAAAAAAAGAGGGGGGGGGGGGTGGAAAAGCAAAAAACCTCCGTTACCGATTACCGACCTCCCGGAGGTGCTCGGAAGAAGCGGAGCGCCGCCCCGCCCGGTCCTTGCGCAGCCCGCGGGAGGCAAAAGTCGTCTGATCCCCAAAATGCGGCTCTCGGGAAGTTTATATCCCGCCCCGCGCTGTTTGCAGTACACAGCCAGCCGCTATTTACTACCAAATAAAAGAAATACATGGGTGTTTGTAGCGCAAACACGGCACCGCTCGGCGCGGAGAGCTCTGTGCGGACAAAGGCGCAGAGCTGCGGAGCGGAGCGCGGCCGCTGCAGCGCAGAGAATGGAGGAGAAGTTCGGTAGCACCGCACCGACCCCCCCCCCCCCCCCCCCCCCCCCAACACACCCCTTCCTCCCCCCTCCCTCCCCCCGCCTTGTTCGGTCTCTCAAAAGGTGTTTTTTTCGCCGCCCCGAAGGGTTTCTCGCAGCCGTCGGTGTGCCCGAAGGGAGAGGTGACAGAGCTCCACGGTTGGGTGCGGGGACACCTGGGGAGGTGTGGGGGTCTGAGGGAAAGAGCGGCCCCAAAAGGGCTCTGCCAAAGGGAAAAGTGTCCCGGCTGCAACGCTGTCCCGACTCTGTCGCCGCTCACAGCCCCGCAGCGATGTTTCCCTTCGCCCACAGCCCATCGTCTGCTGTCAGAGGAGGAGAGGGGTGGAAAAGCTGAGCTCTCGCTTTACATTTACTTTTCTTTGCCTTCATTCTTTTTTTCTTTTTCTTTTAGATTTTCGTTTCCCCCTCTCCCATTCTTCCCCTTTTATTCCCTTTTCCCTCTTCTTCTTTCCATTTATATTTTCTTTTCTTTTCCTTCTCTCCCTTTTCTTTTGTATCTTCTTTTCCTTCCCTCCCTTTTCTGTTGTATTTTTTCTTTTCCTTCGACTCTTCTCCCTTTACATTTTCTTCTTTTTCTTTCTTTTCCCTTTCCCCTCCCCATCCTTGTTGGCCCCCCCCCCTTCCCCCCGCCCCTTAAGAACCACGGCCCGACCCCAGCGGAGCTCACAATGCGGAGTAGCCGCTCTCGCACCCCCCTCACTCAGGGATGGCCGGGGCAGTCCGGAGTCGTTCGCTGCTCCCCGACCACAAATAAGCGACAGCTTTCCCCCGCCGCTCGATAACATCGCTCTATCGCGTATAAAATGGAAAAAGATGTATTTGCAATCACAACAATATTTTTAATGAGCTGCAAACGACTTGTCCCAAAGTTAGCAGTGCAAACACAAAAGGCATCACTCTGTTTGCAGGAGACACAGCGAGAGCCGTATTTTGGCTCCGACCCTCTGTTTGTGTTCCGTTTACGACCCATCGCATCAGGTTTGGATCCCAAACGAAAGAAAGGCGCGGAGCTCTCCGCCCGTAGAACGGAGTTTTATTTTGATTCCTTCGCCCCCCGCTCCCGCCCTGGGCACTATAAACACATCGGGTGAGGCAGATCTGAACGGAGAGGGGAGCGATTTGTGCC